TCTCTCTCTCTCTCTCTCTCTCTCTCTCTCTCTCTCTCTCTTTCTAATTGGATTTTTTAGACAGACGCACACTTGTTGCGAGAGCATTGTTCGCGACAGACTATGCGGAAACACCGACGACGACGATCGTAGAGGCAGAATGCAAATCGGGTCGTCGCTCGCGGCGCTCCGATTAGCGCGGACGATCGATCGAACGCGAGCGGGTTTTAATTATTAAACGCGCATTTAGATCGCCCGTATGAATGGCCGTACATATCATATACCGGCGGGCGAACCTTCGGAGTGTTGTTGTTTGTTTGTTCGAGGGGGCATCCGCGGGATTCGCATTCACGTTATGACGCGTCCGGAGCTAAAGAGGGTGGTGATGAATTCATGAAAAGATAATGAATCCCGATTTGCGCGATATTAAGTAGCGTGAAAAGTGGACCCTCGAAAGATCCTTTATAGAACTATTCTCGGGATTTTACGGCGTAATGATTAATGATTGCGCTGATTGATAAGACGATAATTGTAATTAATGATTGGCTGATAAAATATTTAAAAAAAAAAAAAAGAGAGATTGGCTATCATGACACGGATAATGTATTCCTCGTATTCTCGTCCTAATGTCCGGGATTATCACCGGGAATGTCGGGAGAGTAGCTACTGCTCGGACATCGTGTACGCCTGCTGGTGGTCGCAAGCGTGAACAATGCGCAGATGGCGCGATTTCGTCAATGGATAATCTTGTTGATTTCACAAGATACTAGCGTAATCGTGTCGTGCACATTGCGAACGAGTGGACTCTATTGGATTCGGCTATATCCTTTGTTTCCCCCGAGTCGTGCGCATATCCTCAGGACAAAGAACCAACTGTTACTGCTTTTCAGAGAGAGCTTCTTTTAAAATCCATAAAATCGTTACTTCGTAGGTCTCCATATCCAAGAAAATGTCACGTTCAATCAGATTTTCATTCAAAAAGATTTGTCGTTAAATTGATCAAAGTATTTGCAGATGTGTTACTGCGTAACAATATTTTGTTAGAGAATATTTTATCGCTCGGAATTACTACAAATGAACACGATATCCTTTTTTTGTGAGCATAATTGTTAAAACGTGCTCGCACAATTCACGCAAATTTCACTTTCCTATCACGAGCTTAATTTTCCTACATTCAAACTTGCATTTAAAATGCAGATTTATGATAATGATCGTGTATGAAAAGAAAGACGTAGACGCAACCTGATCATTTCAATTTACTTAATTCCATTAACGATTCGACCCTTCTATATACGTATAGCCTGAATTGTAACGTAGAGCGGGAAAACAGAGTCAAGACTATTCTTAATTGTTCGTCCTGCAATTTGAACGGAAAATATAATTCGTATCGAATATTTAATAAAACACCCTATAGAAATAAGAAAAATAGAGAGTAAGGATAGAGATGAATTTTTAGCTGAGCATGTACCGGATGCGCGTACGAACACATATATTAATATATACGTATACGGTATGTATTCGTTATTCGACGCGTGCCTTTGTACCTTTTTCAAATATCCGTCGCCCGAAATGTTCACAATCATCGTCGCACGACATCATCGCCGGCATCGCTGTAGCCGCCAGTGTCTTCCACAAACGCGCGGGCGTCCCGCCCGCTTCTCCAGCCCCGTCGCCACCTCTGAGAGACCTCGATGGAGAATCCTCTCGCCGTCGACTCGTGGCGAAACTCGCTCGGCATTCGCCGTCTTGAATGGTGACAAACGGCATGCACCGCGGAACACACAATCGCACCGCGGTGGCTGCGACTGCAGGTACGATCGGGGGGGGGGGCGGGGGCGGGCGGACGTGCGGGTGGGAACAGGGGGGTGCGGAGGCTGACTGCAGCGCGCGAGCAATGCGGCTGTGCACCCCGGTAGCGACGTACAGTTGACAGAAGCGCTTACGGAGGCGAGAGATCGTATTAGTACGTTCGCCTCTCT